TGGATTGGACCATTGAACTCCGCCTCCCGTACAGTAGCCTCCCCTTCTGGTTACGGTTGCTAATGATCATATCCCAGCTATCATTGTAGTTTCACGAGGACCGCCGAAGAAATACTGAAGAAGGCGAGTGGTGTTCGGCAAAGAGTCTCTTGCCGTCACAGGTTGCGGCAGCTGACCGTTGTGTGTATTTCCACAACAGCGATTTGTTGTTGTGATGCACCCTCGTTGTCCACCGAATGACTGACTGCTTCCGTCGTTTCCGCTTTTTCCTCGGCTTTCTTTCATCTTTCGAATTCGTGTGACTTTTGACCAACCACCATGGCCCGGCGATCGATCTTCGGTAAATTTCGGCAGGCGGTCGGCAAAACGGAGAGTTGCAAGGGTTAAAAAAAATTCCCTCCAGCCTCATTGCACGCCGTCCGACAAAGGGGTCGAGCACAAATTGATGGGCCGCATTTTGCCTCCCTCCCTCATCCCCCACCATCTAAATTTGCCCGTTACTCATTTCTGTTTCTCCACTGTCCGTACTTCGATGGCCGGATGTGCTCGTTCCGTCAGACAGAGAGAACAGCGATGCCGTGTCTCCTACTCGTCTGGTGCGTGACTGCCACCGGCTGACATGTTTCCAGCGCTGTTAATGTCAGAGTCGATCATCATGTTCACTTCTGACATGTCAGTATCGGTTTCGCTGTCTCACCTTTGTTCGTATGTTGCTGTTGAAACTCACTGATTTAAATCAAAAGCCGGACATAAGCTACAGTGATGATGAATGAAATATTTCTAATTTAATTATTTTGTAAAAATTTTTCCTGTTAGAATTATGCATCAAGTAAATGCGTGCATGACAAAAATCTCAGAATATTCAACTTTTCATCATGCCTCTCACCCCATTATATCCTTCACGGTCACTGACGATTATGACTATTATGCAGTGGTTTCAGACCGATTTGGACGAATATTGATTTTCGATTTGCCTTTCTTCCGAATATATTATGGCGTTTGACGACGAAGCGTGTTTCTTCCTCATTGGTTGTCGGTCGAGTGAGCGCATGCATAGCTGGGTCAAAGTTCAGGTCGAATTTACGAAAATTTGTCTTGCATTTGGCAAGTACTTAGTTGCCATTCACGAAGGTTCGTATATTCTGAATGCTTCGCTGACCTCACTTTAAACACGCCCTGAAGCCGTCTAGCTGTCGACTTGCTCATCCGTCGGTCGGTCGGTCTCTCTCTTAGGTAATAGCAGCCAATTATTTGTCGATTAACTGCTTAATTGTTGTTTACATTGTTTGTTGCCATTGTTTGTGTAATTACAGAGTCGAGTCGTAATGTGTTTTTGTTCGTCGGGTAATTGTGACGACGTATGTAAAATCACACACGACATACATATCTGTTAGCCATGTCGTGTCGTGTCGTCTGACGTCCGTGCCGTGCCACGTTGCACGGTATCGTTTAACACGTGTTCGACTCGGCTCCTCACTCGTCCGTCACTCATCACATGTCAGAGTTCCAGTTTCAAGTTCGATCGATCGATCAACCAACGGAACTTAAAGCTCGCTTATGACCGATCGTTCGCTGTACCAACCCACAGCCAGCTGTTGCTGGTGAGCTCTGGCTATTTAATGGTGAGTTACGTCGCTTGTTTTGAGGCTGACCGGTCGTCCAACGACGACAGAACCGGAATCGGAACCGAAAAAAATTCGTTCACCGCGAAAACGAGTTCGTTACTCATCCTCTTGCAGCATTGTTTTCCTTTTCTACTCATAAATGTTATCATATTTGTCTATCGATTGCAGCGTCCGGACGGATTCCGATTTAATGATGACATATGCGTTCACGGACTGATTTCGTCGAATCTTTCGATTATTCGTAATAAATTAACGTTTATTATTATAAATGGCATTTGGATATTATTCTGATTCGATTAAACATTTTGTCGCTTCGGACTAAATTCCCATCCATATCAGTTATGACCAGTTCGCCGCCGTTGATCGTCGTCGTTCCTGTATATTCTTCGATACAATGATTAATATTTCGGTGTTGAGTTAACGACCATGGTAATGGTAATAGCGATAAAGATGATTATCATTTTGACGATGACGTTTTAATTGATTAGCATGTGAGAGATGATTTTGGTCATGGTCTTGGCTTTTCTGTGATAGTCATATTCACAGTCATCATTACGTTTTATGTATGATGACATAAGAGTGAAGATTATCACAAGTCTTATATCATTACGCTGTTTATTCTGTTGACGATGACAGAAACTTGTCAGCAAATTCGATGGCTCGTTGTT